ATATCTTCTTAGGAACTTTAATTTGACAGCAAATACCCATATTTTTAATAAAAAATTTTACTTAATATTTCAACAAATGTACATACTCCTTAGTAATCTAATTTTATATCAACATACTGATTTCTTTGTAGAGTTACAGACTATTTCACATCTATTTGTAGTCTCTGTGAATTTGTTTTATAAAAAGGCAATTTCTCGTCTTTATCTTCTTCCTATTTAAACGGCTCAGTTGATTCAATCTGAAAACAAAATCCTGCCCTTGGAAAGGTTTGGTTTCTCCAGACTAACCAAATCCAGTAAACCCTGAAAAGCCATCAAAATCCTGAAAACTATAGAGTCGTTAAAATACTACAGAATCCACTGCTATTTGATAGCCAGATGGAAATACAATTGCTAAAGGAAGTTAAGTAAAAGTATAGTCCAGATTGGTATTCCTGTAAAACTTCCACCGTTGCCTGGAGCTCAGGGCTGTGCAGTCTAGTTATTTAGTAATAACACCCAGTCATCCTCTGAACTCCTAGTGGTCCCTTCCTCACAATCATTAATTCGGTACAGTTTCCCAGGGAAACATGCTCTTCATTGCTTTTTCCATATTACGGTTTCACCCTCACATTATACAGGGAGACAAGTAGATGGTCAGAAGCTACGTGATATTCCTTTCTATCTTGTAACTGAGGGGGAGATGGGGCATGGGAGGGATGGAAACTTTATTGAAATAAACACATGTGCAGGTGAAGGATATATTTTGTTATGTTTATCTTGGAATCTTGGATCACAAAAACGTCAGTCACCATTGATCCATTTGTTCTGTTGTTGACCAAGGAGACATGTTGTTTTAAGCACCTAGGAGCATTTGAGAGATTTTGGTGGTTGTGGGATTTAACTTGCTGGTGGGAAAGACGAGCTCCTCCTCTTCCTATTGCGATGCACGTTGGAGAGAAATCTAAGAATGGTTTCCCAGTGTACTGAATTTTTATTATTTATTATTTGTGGTTTGATTCCAATTCGTTCATTCATTTGGCAAACTGTCAGAAGTCCAGATAAGTGAAGAAGGTTCGTGGGTGCTTGTGATTATCTGCTGTTATGTGTTTGCAGCCGAACACTTCATCCAGCAGTTCCCTGCTGTCGGTGATGGTCCTTCTTCCTATTAATAAATATATAGTCACTGTGTGGCACAAATGATTAAGTGGTTGACTATTGGTCCATAGGTTAGAGGTTCAGACCCACCCAGAAGCTCTTTGGAAGGCCTGGTGATTTGCTTCGGAAAGGCCACAAGCTTGAAAACTGTGTGGAGCAGTTTCACACTCTTAACTTACGGAGTGGTCGTGGATCAAAATCAACTTAAAACCAGTTAGTTAGCAAGGTATATGAAAACACTCATTTGTTTATACTCATTTACTCCACATATTTTTAATTTATATATCTTTAAATGCCTCTTATGTACTAGAGAATTCTGGTTGAGTAGTCTGTAAGGACTTGTGCTCATAAATCAGAGGTTCGAATCCACCAGCAACCCCAGCGAAAAAGAGAGGCAGTCTCCTCCCAGGCAATTTATAGCTTAGGAACCCAGCGGAGGGTCAGCTATGAGTTGATTCCGACTGAATGGCAACAAATGAGTTACCGAACGTTGCTAGACTTGTGGCCTCAGAGACAGAAGCAATGTCAGCCACTGTCCTCGAATTGCTTTTGCTTAAGAGTAGGGATCAGATAGGTAGCCCATTAGCTGTAATGTGATATGAGTACTATTAATAAGAGTCTATACAAGATACAGGGAGCTGTGGTGGTATCATGCATTGGGTACCATTGGACCATAAACCAAAAGGTCAATGGCTCAATCTTACCAGCCGTTCTGTGAGAGAGAGATAGGCAGTCTCACCCATGAAGATTTATAGTTACAGAAACTGAATGGAGGGCCATCTTGGATTGGAATCCACTTAGCGGCGATGGGCACCTGTTTTGGTTGTTTACAGAATAGGAGCCCTGGTGTATAGTATGTTGTATGTTGAGTTGCTTGCTGAAAGCTTGCCAGTTTGAATTCACTAGCACCTCTGGAGGAGAAAAATGAGGTAGCCTGCTCTTATTAAGACTTCCAGCTTAAGACACCTGATAGGGGCCTCCACGAATTGGAATTGACTTAATGATAGTACATTTGTCTTCTCTTGGTGTCCACAGTACAGGCACAGTGGGTAAAGCACTCAACTGTTAACCAAAGGGTCAGCATGTTCAAATCCACCAGCTTCTCTGTTTCCAGGGAGAATTGCAGCCTTAGAAATTCCACAGGACAGTTCTATGCTGTCCTGTAGCATTGATGGCAACTACAACAATACACATGCTGTTGTTAAAGCACTATCAAGTTGGAACAGACTCATAGCTGGCCCTCCAGTGGGTTTTCAGAGGCTGCAATCACATGGAAGGAGATAGCCCATCTTTCTCCCTCAGACAAGCTGGTAGATTAGAACCGTGCGCCTTTAGGTTGTCGGTCCAGCTCCTTACCACCAAA